AAAATTCTAATAATAATATTTTATAGCGTTTGCAGTAATATTTTTAGTAGTAGTAATATTAATATTATTATTAATAATAATATTAATTTCTATAATAATTCTAATATAATTAAAATAATAATTATAATTAATATTTTTTCCACCCCAAATTTTCGAAGTGTTATTTTTTTTAATATTTAAATTTTTTTTTTTTTTAAGTTTAGGTGTGGATGATGAAAATATTTTATGTAAATTAAATTAGGGCTGTTGTTAATTGGTTCAAACTAAATCAAAGTAATAAGACTGTACTGAGTGGTTTCATGTAGTTGAACATAAGAACCTTGTGTTGTCAGTGACGCATACGCAAAGCTGCTGGAGTCGGGCGACCTGAAGGGCAGCTCTCTACGGCTAGAGGGGATCAACATGCCCTTCCACCACCTGCTGGCCAGGATCTGCTTCCACCATCACTTCTCCGGTGCGCCGACTTCACAAAAGACGCTGTGATACGTTTCAAAATATGGACACCCTTAAATCCTCTGTTCTCTTGTTTCCTGTGTTTGTAGTTGTGGAGAGGATCGACTCCTGCGCCTCCATGTACAGCAGGTCGATCCAGGGTCACCACGTCTGTTTGCTGGTCAAAACCGTGAGTATTTGGAATATGCAATATAAACTGAATCATAATGATTCTGATTCCACTAAGCAACTCTTTTCAGATTTGAAGAAGATGATTCATTAAAACCCTATGTTTCTCTTTCTTCCAGTCCGATCAGACCGTCTCCATCGACGCCAAGTGCGACGAGCCATCGCTGCTGGGGAATGTGCTGGATGAGATCAAGCAGACCTTCTCGAAATGCTGATTGTGTCTGAGAGACCCCTCGCCACCCTGAAACCCCCTCCCCATCCCAGCGCAGGCTGAACCACACACACTCGGAATCATATATCGCACTCTGAGACTCGTGTCCTTCCTCTTCCTTTGTATTTATTGGATCAGTCGTTCTACTGTTCTTCTTTTAAGATCACAAATTTCAAGCCCGCTCCTGCCTTTGTTTCCCCTCCTCGTCCTCTGACGTGCGTTTTGTTCCTGATCTCACTCTTCATCTTCTTCCTCAGCTTCTTCGTCTCTCTGACGGTCTTTCCATTGTCTTAACGGTCCATGACTTTCATCTTGAGAACTGGATTTTTTTCGTTGTCGATGATAAAAAGCATATATAAATTAGTGCTGTCAGTCGATTAAAAAAATTTATAAATCACTTTTTTCATAAATTAATCACGATTCATCCCACCTAACATTAAAGTTATTAAATACTTTTATATTGCAATAATATTTGTTAATTACATCTTTTTTTAATGACTGAAGCTGAGTTTCACTGATACCAATACTGATGTCTCTAATAAAAAAAAATTATCTAATATTTATCCATGCACTATATTTGAGAGCTATCAATTTTAACATTTAAAAAACACTTAAAAAAAAACTTCTAATTAAAGTGAACTTAAAACAATCTTCACATAAACCCATTATAATAAATTATATACATATTTAGCTACCTGTGGCCTTCTCCAAGTAGGAAATATACAGACATTGAATAAAGTTGAGCACTACATTCTAAATTAAATATAGATGAATCCTTAAAGCTACAAAAGTTATTGATGTCCTCTTTTTTTCTTTTGTTCTTTGACTAACAGACATCACAGCAGCTGGGTTATTAGGTTATTTTGGCTGCTTTAAGAGCTGCCGCTGCTGAACATGACGCGGATCTGACACGCATCATATTTTCTCATAACTCTTTACCTTACCCTGAAACCCCCTGAAGCCCCATCCCAGTGCAGCCCGTCCGGCTGAACCACACGCTCAGAATCATATATCGCACTCTGAGACTCGTGTCCTTCCTCTTCCTTTGTATTTATTGGATCAGTCGTTCTACTGTTCTTCTTTTAAGATCACAAATTTCAAGCCCGCTCCTGCCTTTGTTTCCCCTCCTCGTCCTCTGACGTGCGTTTTGTTCCTGATCTCACTCTTCATCTTCTTCCTCAGCTTCTTCGTCTCTCTGACGGTCTTTCCATTGTCTTAACGGTCCATGACTTTCATCTTGAGAACTGGATTTTTTTCGTTGTCGATGCTCGAGTTGTGTGCTTTTTTTTTTGCGTTGTGTTGTTTGTTGCATTTTTTTCTGTCCTGAACTCCATCAGCACCTTTCTCTGCATTAAACATCAGTGTGTCTGTTCCTTACCAGTCTCGTCGCATATGTGTGTTGCTCTTTTCGAAGGCTAGCCCTTGCAGGACTGGTTTCAGACCAGAAACATTCTTCCCACATCCCATCCTTAAACTCTAACTGCCTCTGAGCACTAATGTCACTAACAAGTGCAGTTGCACATTTAGTTGCACACATATAGGACATATAGGTACACAGTTGTATTCTAGACCATGTTTATACTTGTGATCACACGTGATATTAGTGATATCATGTGTGATGGCCCTAGTATTTGTGTCCTAATGTTGGTAGATACTACTACAGTTGCATATAATTAATTAAACTGCACACTAACAAAACTTGCTCAGGATAATGACGGTTATTAAAAGTGGCAAACAGATTATTTCACAGCTCGCAAATCCGATATAGTGATTCTTGCACTTTTATGTTCCAGTTAATGGACACTAAATTTTGGAAACGTTCCAGTTTTGGAAAGATTCCAGAAATTTTCAGCACCATTGAAACCCTAATAGACGCCACCAGGATGGAATCTTCAGGTCGCCGGTTTACCTCAGAATAATTTTGATTTGTACTATAGTTTGTGAAAAAGAAACCAAATCGATTAATCGTGTCAAATCGATTAATCGCATCCAAAATAAACGCTTTTTTACATAATGTGTGTGTGTACTGTGTATATTTATATATATATATACAATTACACGCACATACATGTATATATTTAAGAAATATTTACATGTGTGTGTATATATATATATATATATATATATATTCATATATAATA